CTTGGTGAGAAGGTGACAACAGTTGGTGCAATCATTCACAAATGGAAGAAACACAAAACAAGTGTCAGTCTCCCTAGGTCTGGTGCACCATGCAAGATCTCACCTCGTGGAGTGTCAATGATCATGAGAACAGTGAGGAATCATCCCAGAACTACACGTGAGGATCTTGTCAATGATCTCCAGGCAGCTGGGACTGCAGTCACCAAGAAAACAATTGGTAACACACTACGCCGACAAGGACTGAAATCCTGCAGTGCCCGCAAGGACCCCCTCTGCTCAAGAAAGCACATGTCCAGCCCGTCTGAAGTCTGAATCTGAATGATGCAGAGGAGGACTGGTGGAAAGTGTTGTGGTCAGAGGAGACCAAAATCCAGCTCTTTGGTATCAACTCAACTCGCCGTGTTTGGAGGAGGAGGAATGCGGCCTATGACCCCAAGAACACGACCCCAACTGTGAAACATGGTGGTGGAAACATTCTGCTTTGGGGGTGTTTTTCTGCTAAGGGGACAGGACAACTTCACCGCATCAAAAGAGACGATGGACGGGGCAATGTACCCTCAAATCTTGGGTAAGAACCTTCTTCCCTCAGCCAGGGCTTTGAAAATGGGTGGTGGATGGGTGTTCCAGCATGACAATGACCCAAAATACATGGCCAAGGCAACAAAGGAGCGGCTCAAGAAGATGCACATTAAGGTCCTGGAGTGGCCTAGCCAGTCTTCAGACGTTAATCCGATTGAAAATCTGTGGAGGGAGCTGAAAGTTTGAGTTGCCAAACGTCAGCCACCAAACCTTAATGACATGGCGAGGATCTGCCAAGAGGAGTGGGCCAAAATCCCTCCTGAGATGTGTGCGAACCTGGGGGCCAATTCCAGGACCTCTGTGATTGCCAACAAGGGATTTGCCACCAAGTACTAAGTCATGTTTTGTGAAGGGGATCAAATCCTTCTTTCCCTCATGAACATGCAGATCAGTCCTCATTTGTTAGACGCATTTCTGCTGAATTTGTTGTTGCTATTCTGTCTCTCAGTGTTACACCGAACATTCCATTGTTAGACCGATCATTTCTGTGTGAGGGGCGAACATTCCATTGTTAGACCGATCATTTCTGTGTGAGGGGCGAACATTCAACATCAGCAGGGGAGCAAATACACATTTTCTTCACTGTACACATACTAAGGCTAATTTAGACAGGATCCAGTTCACCTACAAGCATGTCTTTGGAGTGTGGGAGGAAACCGGAGTACTCAGAGGAAACCCACGCATGCACAGGGAGAACATGCAAACTCCAGGCAGGTGGTGCCGTGGCTGGGAATGGAACCAACGACCCGAGTACTGCCAGGCGGAAGTGCTAACCATTTAGCCGCTGTTACTTCCCAATTACCAAATACTCCAAAGACATGCTGGGAGGTGAATTGGCTCCTGTCTAAATTGGCCCTAATATGTGTATCAAAGAACAAAAACAAAAGCGCACCAACCTTGCGCATTACCTCAGTGAGTAAAGGGTGAATTTATTGAATTGCGATATATACTCACAAAAGTAGCAATATTAAAAGCATATAAAATCCACCATCAGCGCACTGCAATGGCAGACACGTGCGGGTCCCATCGAGAGGGGAGACTCTTAGGATGAAACCGACGCATTTCAAAAGGGTGATCCCCTGGGAGGTCTAAGGAAGGATCACCCTTCGAAACACATCAGCTTCATCCTAAGAGAGAGTCTCCCCTCTCGAAAGGGTGATCCCCTGGGTGCTCCGAGGAAGAAAAGATCACCCTTCGAAACGCGTCAACTTCATCCTGAGAGTCTCCCCTCTCGATGGGACCCGCACTTGTCTGCCATCCCAGTGCGCTGATGGTGGATTTTATATGCTTTTAATATCGCTACTTTTGTGAGTATATATCTCAATTCAATAAATTCACCCTTTACTCACTGAGGTAATGCGCAAGGTTGGTGCGCTTTTGTTTTTGTTCTTTGTTACAGCTGTTATTGGGCTTCCCCAGCCTTCTGTTAGAGCTGCACAACCTTTGATTGGCCACCGGATGGACTTTCATATAGGGTTCAACCCGCTGAATTCTGATCTGGGTCTCTGAGCGCAGGAGGTTTTGTTTCTGTTTGCCCTAGTATGTGTATGTATGAAAGTGGGTTAGGGACCTTACATTGGACGCCCCTTGAGGGTTAGGGACCTTACATTGGACGCCCCTTGAGGGTTAGGGACCTTACATTGGACGCCCCTTGAGGTTTAGGGACCTTACATTGGACGCCCCTTGAGGGTTAGGGACCTTACATTGGACGCCCCTTGAGGGTCAGGGACCTTAGATTGGACGCCCTTTGAGGGTCAGGGACCTTAGATTGGACGCCCTTTGAGGGTCAGGGACCTTAGATTGGACGCCCTTTGAGGGTCAGGGACCTTAGATTGGACGCCCTTTGAGGGTCAGGGACCTTAGATTGGACGCCCTTTGAGGGTCAGGGACCTTAGATTGGACGCCCTTTGAGGGTCAGGGACCTTAGATTGGACGCCCTTTGAGGGTCAGGGACCTTAGATTGGACGCCCTTTGAGGGTCAGGGACCTTAGATTGGACGCCCCTTGAGGGTTAGGGACCTTACATTGGACGCCCCTTGAGGGTTAGGGACCTTACATTGGACGCCCCTTGAGGGTTAGGGACCTTACATTGGACGCCCCTTGAGGGTTAGGGACTGATATGAATGTACAATATATATGTAAAGCGCTGCGTACATTGACGGCGCTATACAAGTACCTGTAACAAATAATTACCTGAGGTGATTGCTGCTGGACACACACAAAGTTCATCCAGCAGCGATCACCGCAGCTCATCAGTGGCTGTGTGGACAGCAGCGAATTGCTGCTGCCGCTGGCGACCTAGTCATTATTGTGAACGGGGCTGGCGGCCGCACCTACCAGCGTCAGGAATCTCGGAATCCTGCAGTTACTATTCGTACCGGCTCTAATCGCTGGTGTGAACGTAGTCTAACTCATCGATAGAACACACCTGTGCTACATAGTTAGTCTGGCTGAAAAAAGACAAAAGTACATCCAGTTCAACCATTAAAAAAAAAAAAAAAAAAAGTTATAATCCTACACCCACAGTTGATCTAGAGCAGTGGTGGGCAACCTTTTTTTTCAACTGAGCCAAATCTCGCCAAAACCACGATTGAAATTTATTTTGAGAGCCACATTTTTAAAACTGAAAATACATCCCCCATATAGTAATTCATCCCCCATATAGTAATTCATCCCCCATATAGTAATTCATCCCCCATATAGTAATTCATCCCCCATAGTAATTCATCCCCCATATAGTAATTCATCCCCCATATAGTAATTCATCCCCCATATAGTAATTCATCCCCCATATAGTAATTCATTCCCCATAGTAATTCATCCCCCATATAGTAATTCATCCCCCATATAGTAATTCATCCCCCATATAGTAATTCATCCCCCATATAGTAATTCATCCCCCATATAGTAATTCATCCCCCCTATAGTAATACATCCCCCATATAGTAATTCATCCCCCATATAGTAATTCATCCCCCCTATAGTAATACATCCCCCATATAGTAATTCATCCCCCTTATAGTAATTCATCCCCCATATAGTAATTCATCCCCCATATAGTAATTCATCCCCCATATAGTAATTCATCCCCCATATAGTAATTCATCCCCCATATAGTAATTCATCCCCCATATAGTAATTCATCCCCCATATAGTAATTCATCCCTCATATAGTAATTCATCCCCCATAGTAATTCATCCCCCATATAGTAATTCATTCCCCATATTGTGTCAATTCACTTACCTTTGCTCCGCGCGTTCCTCTCGCCATGTTCCCCGCGCCGTTTCGGTCTTCAGGGCGGACTGTGAGAGGAGAGGAGTTCGTCACGCTGCCCCGCCTACATCCTGACAGCCAATGTTTGCCACGCTCCGCGGGCCGGATTAAAAGGTCCGCCGGGCCGTAGTTTGCCCATTGCTGGGCTAGCTGCAGAGTCCTGACTTTTGGGGCGGCCGCCCGAGAGGAGGGAGGGGAGCGGGCGCCCGACACACAGAAGAGCCGCATTAAAGTGTGTAAAGAGCCGCATGTGGCTCGCGAGCCGCGGCTTGCCGACCACTGATCTAGAGGAAGGCAAAAGAAACCCAGCAAAGCACGATCCAACTTGCTCCTGCAGGAAAAAAAATATTCTTTTCTGATCCCCCCCGAGAGGCAATCGGATATTCCTGGATCAACTTTACCTATAAATGTTAGTAAGTTAGTGTGCACACCCTCTTATAACTGGGGATGTAGCTGTGTTCAGAATGAAGCAATCACCTTCACAATCCTGTTAAATAGGAGTCAGTACACACCCGCCATCATTTAAAGTGCTTCTGATTAACCCCAAATAAAGTTCAGCTGTTCTAGTCGGTTTGTCTTGACATTTTCTTAGTCGCATCCTACAGCAAAAGCCATGGTCCGCAAAGCGCTTCCAAAGCATCGGAGGGATATCATTGTTTAAAAGGTATCAGTCAGGAGACGGGGACAAAAGGATTTCCAAGGCATTATATATACCATGGAACACACTGAAGAAAGTCATCAAGTGGAGAAAATATGGCGCAACAGTGACATCACCAACAGTGACGTCACCAAGAACTGGACGTCCCTCCAATATGGATGAAAAAGACGAGAAGACGACTTGTCTGGGAGGCGGCCAAGAGGCCAACAGCAACATTAACCACCGAGCACTTATACCCCCTTCTTTACCAGGCCAATTTTCAGCTTTCAGCGCTGTCGTACTTTGATTGACAATTGCGCGGTCGTGTAAGATTGTACCCATATGAAATTGTTATCATTTTTTTCTCACAAATAGAGCTTTCTTTTGGTGGTATTTAATCGCCGCTGGGCACTTTACTTTTTGCGCTATAAACAAAAAAAGTGCAAAAAAATTGGAAAAAAAAAAAAATTCTTTGTTTCTATTATAAAATTTTTCCAACAGGTAATTTTTCTCCTTCACTGATGTGCGTTGATGAGGCAGCACTGATGAGGTGGCACGAATAGGCGGCACTGATAGGCATTGACTGGCGCAACTGATGGGCACTGACTGGCACAACCGCTAGGCACTGACTGGCAGTACTGCATTGATGGGCACAGGTGGGTGGCACCGCTGGGTACTGGTGGGCGGAACTGGTGGGTGGCACTGCTGGGCACCGATCATCAGTGCCCTGATGATCGGTGCCGATCCCTGCTCTGACAACTGCCGGTTCTCGGCAGTACTTTCCTCGCACTCTAACAGCGTGAGGAAAGTGCAGCCGAGAACCGGCAATTGCATTTCCCGGTGATCAGCGTGTCATTGGACACAGCTGATCACGTGGTAAAAGGCCGCTGTGATTGGCCTTTTACCACATCACGTGATCAGCTGTGTCCGTAGGACACAGCGATCACAGGGGTCGCTGGCTGTGCGCCCCCGGGGGCACGCAGGAGAGCGCGTTCTGGAAGGACGTCATATGACACCCTCCCAGAACTAGCCAGGCCGCAGTGTAGCCATGTGACAACAATCTCCCGTGTTCTTCATATGTCTGGCCTATGGGGGAGAGTGGCAACACGGAGGCCTTTTCGTACAAAGAAAAATATCCAAGCCCAGCTAAATTTTGCAAAAACACATCTGAAGTCTCCCAAAAGCATGTGGGAAAATGTGTTCTGGTCTGGTGAAACCAAGTTTGAACTTTTTGGTCATAATTCCAAAAAGATATATTTGGTGCAAAAACAACACTGCACATCACCAAAAGAACACCATACCCACCGTGAAGCATGGTGGTGACAGCATCATGCATTGGGGCTGTTTTCTTCAGCTGAAACTGGGGCCTTAGTCAAAGTAGAGGGAATTATGAACAGTTCCAAATACCAGTCAATATCGGCACAAAACCTTCAGGCTTCGGAAAGCTGAACATGAAGAGGAACTTCATCTTTCAGCATGACAACGACCCAAAGCATCCATCCAAATCCACAGAGGAACGGCTTCACCAGAAGAAGATGGAAGTGTTGGAATGGCCCAGCCAGAGCCTAGACCTGAATCTGATGGAAGATCTGTGGGGTGATCTGAAGAGGGCAATGCACAGGAGATGCCCTCACAATCAGACAGATTTGGAGTGTTTTTGCAAGGAAGAGCGGGCAAATATTGCCAAGTTAAGATGTGCCGTGCTGATAGACTCCTCCACAACAAGACGGAGTGCTGGAATCACATCAAAAGGGGCTTCAACGAAGGGTGTGCACACTTATGCAACCATATTATTTTAGTTCTTTAATTTTACTTCCCTCCACCTAAAATATTTCCGTTTGTTGTTCAACTGAGTTGTACAGTTTATAGGTCACATTAAAGGCGGAAAAGTTTCTGAAATTATTTATCTTGGTCTCTTTTTAAATCAAAGAAACCTGACACTTTAACAGGGGTGTGTAGATGTTTTATATCCACTGTAGGCAACAGCCATTACCTAATGTCCTGCACCTCCTTCCTCCATCAGAGCATCACCAAATTACCCGGTGTCGGGGCCGTGATGTCACCCTTTTCATCATGTGACCAGCGCCTTGGTCTAGTGACTGCATTATGACTGTGCACTGCATTATGGGAAGGGGTCTAATATTCCCCATATGTGGAAGCACCAGGTACTTTGCAGTTCTGGCTACAAAGAGGGGACCCTATACAGAGCAAGCATTTTACTTTGTAGTAATTTAGAGGTTTGTGGAGAGTCAATGCTTGAATTAAAACTTTTCAGATTTCTTCTACCGTCGGTACTCACTGCTCTGGTCACGGTTATATTATGGCACGTGTGTGTATTGTGGCACATGTGTGTATTGTGGCACGTGTGTGTATTGTGGCACATGTGTGTATTGTGGCACATGTGTGTATTGTGAGTGCGGGTACAGCATTAGAATAAAGAAAATTCACTTTTGGCCCTGCGTGTCCATCATGTAAAGGGATCGATCATTACCCAGCGACTGTAGACTGGCATAGTTTTCATTCATGACTTCCATGTACAGTTGCAGCTGACCACCGTTCAAGTTCCGCCATTCCTCCTCCGTTAAGTACGCGGCTACATCATTGAATGTCACATGCATCTAGAAAAGAAGAACGCACCAATCAGTCTGAGAAGTATACAATTTTTATAGTACATATTAAAAGGTTTTAGCTGAAAACTGCGATTTCGATTGTGAGAATAGTGCAGCTGCGCAAAGTTCAGGAAGTCTCTTCAACGCATCTCTAAAAAGTAGTCTGTGAGGCCATTTGCTGCCCATCAACCAGCACTGTCCCTGCCTTACCCACAGTGGTGACATAGTTAGTTTGGCCAAAAAAAAGACAAAAGTCCATCCAGTTCGATCATGTGATCACTGAGGTCACATGGTACAAGGCTATTCACAACAGCCTTGTACCATGTGACAATAGATGCTGGTCAGGTAGATCGCCCTGCTCAATTTTAGCTAAGAACACCCTCCATTCGTAGGGAACATGGACTGTGCCAGAAAACCGCCATCCCTACAGTTTCCCGTGAATAAATCCATATTGTTGAATACGGTCATACCTGGACAACAACCAGAAGTCAAACTGGTAGGCTGTGTCCTCCATACGCATTTCAAGGCTTCATTTTCATTTCTATTAAAAGGGTTAATTGAACAAAGATCGGCGTGATCAGTTTTGTATAGATGAACAAAATATTAGTTTCAAATACTTGAAGCGACAGTGGCGTAGCGTAGTGGCGTTACCGGGGGCGTAGAGAAGCTATCTTATCTTGATGGGGGAGAAAGTTACACTTCGGCAAACTGCTGGCACCAAACTCGGGATGCTTAACCTGGGCTGACCCACACCATCTGTCAGGAGATAACGTTTGCCTCTCAGGAAGGGAGGGGTAGGGAATGAGGGCCGAGGAATGCTTCCACTAAGAGAAAGGAAAAAGGGGAACTCCGCGTCCAACTCTGATGAGCAAGTTTGCTACACTCACCACGGCTGGTTTTATCGGCCATCTTCTGTCCCTGGCACCTTTAGTGTGGGCACCCGGCTGTGACAGCTTGCGGCTTCAGGAGGTGCCCGCTGCGCATGCGCGAGAAGCGCTGTGCTTTGTGAATGGCCCTGTAGCCTTCTGGGAGCGGTCACGTGTCCTAGAAGACTACGGGGAGGACAACTTCCACTTCCGATTGCCTTGGGTGACCGCAGTGGAAGTGGGAGCGGGTACCTGTCAAATTCGGGTACCTGCTCCACCCCCCGCTCCCCAAAAAGGTGCTAATCCTTAATTGGGAGCGGGGGACAAAGGTTTAAAAGCGAAACTTCCCCTTGTGGGCGTCGCTCCACTTTAACTGGTTCCTGCATGGCCTATTGTAGAATGACGGCCGGGTGGGACCTCTCTCATGCTGGGAGGAAGTTGTATGATGCGCTCCCATTTTTTCTGCACATGTGCGCCCAGGGGGAGTGCGCAGCAATCGGTGGTGAGCTGTGCCCCCTACCATAGTAGGGGATAAATGGGTACCTATAGATGTGTGATGGATTTGGTAAAATGTCTATTCGGTTTCTTGTTTAAAATATACATATATTTACTTTTATACTTTTTCATATTTCTAAATATATGTGTTGTGCGTATATATTTTGTCTGCTGGGCTTTGCAGTCCTCCTTAACTTGTTTGTTCAGAGTGATGTTCTCAACCCCTCCCTCCGCACTGAGAGGATTTTACTTAGGCTTTGAAAATGTGAGGGGGAGTGAATAGATAACGGGCGATAAGCAAGCATCAAGTTTCTGCACTTCTCCCATATTTCAGCCAAGCAAAATGTGCCTTTTAGAATGTGACGTATATACGTAATAGTGACGTATACTCTATTGTTCTCTATGTATAAAAGGTTAAGCTCCGCCCTGCAATAAACAGAGATGATGTGAAAGTGGTTGTACTGGACAGTTGTCCGTGTAATTATTGTCCGGCGTGCACACAATCCATATCTCAAAATTAGGAACAGCAGCAGAAATCCAACCTGAACCCGATTGTGGTTCCAAAAACCTTTTTAGATGGAGCTCTTTTTGCGACCACTTGCACAGCATTTTTTTTTTTTTTTTTTTTTTAAACGCCAGAATACAAAGATCCCCAGATAACACAGGAAAATGCCTTCATAGAATTCTTAGTATACTCTCAAATTGAAGATTGTATTCACTACCACAAGTTCCATGGTCGTCGCTCCACGGTCGTCGCTCCATGGTCGTTGTTACACGGTCGTCGCTCCATGGTCGTTGCTACACGGCCGTCGCTCCATGGTCGTTGTTACACGGCCGTCGCTCCATGGTCGTCGTTACACGGTCGTCGTTACACGGTCGTTGCTCCATGGTCGTTGTTACACGGTCGCTGCTCCATGGTCGTTGTTACACGGTCGCTGCTCCATGGTCGTTGTTACACGGTCGCTGCTCCATGGTCGTTGTTACACGGTCGTTGCTCCATGGTCGTTGTTACACGGTCGTTGCTCCATGGTCATTGTTACACGGTCGTTGTTACACGGTCGTTGCTCCATGGTCGTTGTTACACGGTCGTCGCTCCATGGTCGTTGTTACACGGTCGTCGCTCCATGGTCGTTGTTACACGGTCGTCGCTCCATGGTCGTTGTTACACGGTCGTTGCTCCATGGTCGTTGTTACACGGTCGTTGCTCCATGGTCGTTGTTACACGGTCGTTGCTCCATGGTCGTTGTTACACGGTCGTTGCTCCATGGAGGTTGTTACACGGTCGTTGCTCCATGGTCGTTGTTACACGGCCGTCGCTCCACGGTCGTTGATACACGGCCCCCCCGCTCCATGGTCGTTGATACACGGTCGTCGCTCCTTTTATCCCTGACCATTACCGGTCTACCCTTATAAATGTTGAAAGCTCTATTCCGAATCTCTGCCTTTTTAACCTCTTGGCGCCAGCAGAGCGCATATTTGCGGCCTCCCGGGTGTCTGGGCCTAGACGCCGAGCGGCCGCACATTTGCATTCTATTAAAAAAAAGGTATATGTGCTGAGAGCGCGCTCCCAGCACACATGTCCGGTACTCACGTAAAGATCCCGATCTCCTCTTTCGATCGGGACCTTTCCCGATCATGTGACCGCCGTGATGTCGTGGCACGGTGGTCACACGAGTCTAAACCCCGCCCCCCACCTTCTGAAACCCTTAAAGGGTCGGGAGGCGCCGGCGCCAAGGGGTTAACCACTTGCCTTCTAGACCCATTCTGACTCTTCTCTCATACATGTAAAAATATTTTTTTCTTTTTGCTAGAAAAACTACTTAGAACCCCTAAACATATATATATTTTTTTTTAAGCATAGG